TAAAATTCCAAGAGCAAAAGACAAAGAGAGAATATTAAAAGCAGCAAGAGAAAAGCAGGTAGTTACCTATAAAGGAGCACCCATACGATTATCAGCTGATTTCTCAACAGAAACCATGCAGGCCAGATGGGAATGGCAAGAAATATTCAAGGTGATGAATAGCAAGAACCTACAGCCAAAAATACTCTACCCAGCAAAGCTATCACTCAGAATCAAAGGCCAGATAAAGAGCTTCACAAATTAAAAAAAAGCTAAAAGAGTTCATCACTGCCAAACCAGAATTATATGAATTGCTGAAAGGGGTTCTTTAGGAAGAGGAAGAAGATATAGATAAAAATTATGATCAACAAATATGTAACTATCAACAAGTGAAACTAAAAGCCAAGGGAATTAAAAAACCTGATGAACAATATTAACTAGTGAATATAATAGAATCAGAGGTATGGAAGGGGAGTGGACTGACTATTCTTGGGAAGAGCCTGAACAAAAACTGTGGACCTATGGATGAGGACAATGGGGGGTGGGGAAAGGGCAGAAAGTGGGGTGGGAACCTATGGTGGGGAGCAATGGAGGGGGAAAAAAATGAGGAACATTTGTAATAATATGAACAATAAAGTTTTATTTAAAAAAAATAAAATACTTTTATTACTAAATAAAGAAAAAACATAAAACAATTAAAAACTCCTGTTTTGAGATAAAAAAAATCATCAGAATCTGATTGCTTTGATTGGCATATCAGTGATTATCCATAGTGATGGGTATTATTTAGAATGTAATAACCACTATCTTAAAAAATCCTTTGTGATTTGGCTGCAGTGGCTCAGTGGCTGTATATCGACCTATGAACCAGGAGGTCAGGTTTCAATTCCTAGTTAGGGCCCATGCCCGGGTATGGGCTGGAACCCTGACGATGCATGTGCAGGAGGCAGCTGATCAATGATTCTCTCTCATCATTGATGTTTCTATCTCTCTCTCCCTCTTCCTTCCTCTCTGAAATCAATAAAAATTAAAAACAAATCCTTTGTACATTTTAGGGACTTTCTTGTTTATGTATATGAGGTATTTTTACAAATATTTCCATTTGGCATGTATATCCTAATGATTGCTCCTGTGATTTAAGTTGCCTCCGAAGTGTTAAAAATATCTAAGTTGGCTTGTTTGTAAATGTTCTATTCAATCCTTAGTGTAAGGATCAAAAGAGGAATGTTCCAGGGTGCTTATAAAGCAAGTTTTCAAGTTCATTTCAGATTTAGAGAATATGCCTACAAGAGCTCTGTGCAATCAATTTAGCCATAGAGCCCAAGTCAAGATAAACTATTAATAGATATTTTTGTTAAATTTTCACACAGAAAATTTTAAGCATCACTACTAAACAAGCAAAAACATCTAAATAATTTAAAAGGTAAAACATTACCTTATAATTTCAGTATAATTTTCATGTCTTAAAGTGAAATACAAGTAAAATAGCTAGTTTTACAATAACCTTAATTTCAAAAATGAGGGTGCATATACCATCTATTTAAGTTAATTAAATAGCAGGAAGGGTCACAGTAATAAATACATAATTCACACTGCTGAACTCCCTTCAATGGTTTAGGACAGTGTCTGTAGCACCAGAATAGATCGGAGTAATTAATCAGTGTCAAATAGATATAAAATGACTGATGTTGTTGAGAGTGTATACCGTGGTGAGAGCTGCGAAGGACATTCTCTATGGAGCTGAGCTGCACCACCTTGTTTAATCATCGGCAGACGGCTATTAGAATACCACAAAGCAGTGCCGCAGTTCAATCAAGAACAAAATTAATCTCATTTCATGTGGTTTAAATTCAGTGGTTTTTAGAAGTTATTTTCATTCAGAGCAATGACATTTCATTTCCCCAGAAGGAACAAAAAAATTCATTATTGTCACTAATAAAGCTCAGAGTTAAAAAAATAAATGGATTCTCCATTTAAAAATTTACTAGGTATATAGAAAAAAAGAGAAATAGCCTGATTTTAATATTTCCAAAGCCAAATAACACAAAAATGATCTGTTTTGTTTTTTTTAAGTAAACACTGCTATATAAGTTTGTAAAATAAAATTGTAGAGTATTCATTCTTATTCCCAAAATGTTGGAAGTGCTCAAATGTTTAGAGTACTTCTTTTGGGACTATTTTTTAAAACTACATTGTAAAGAAGATAACAAACAAACAAAACAAAAACACACTAGGCTCATTATTGTACAGTTCCATCTTACTTTTGGCCAAATGTAGAATCTTGGCCTGGGAAATTTCCTATTCATATTGTCTTTGCTTACTTTTTTCTTTTTTTACATTATAAAACATTTATTGCTTATCTTTTAAAATGTTTAAATGTTTATCTTTTAAAAAATGTATTTATCAGGGTGACATTGGTTAAAAAAATTATACAGGTTTCAGGTACACAATTCTATAATACGTCATCTGTATATCGTTTGCTACTGTTGACTTTGTGTGGATGCCTTATCAGGTTGAGGAAGTTTCTTTATTTCTACTTTGCTTGAGTATTTATCAGGAATGGACACAGAATTTTATCAAATGATTTTTCTATAGTCATTGGTGTGATCATGTGTTTTTCTTCTTCTTTAGACTGGTAGCTTGTGGAGCACATTAAATGACTTAGAAATATTGAATAAGCCTTGCATTCCTGGAATAAACCCCTCATAAGGTCATGGCATTGTTCTTTTTACAATATTGCTGGATTCAACTTGCTAGTATTTTGTTGACGATTTATGTATCTATATTCATAAGGGATATTGGTCTGTAGTTTAATTTTTTGTACTATCTTTGTCTAGTTTTTGTTATCAACAATACTGCTCTTATAATTTTAGCTCTTTTCTGAAAGAGACTGTATAGATTTTGGTGTTATTTGTTTTTTAAGTGATTGAGAGATTTGCTATGAAGAAATTTGTGCCTGGAGATTTGCTTTATGGAAAAATTTTGATGCAGGCTACCTGTTTTTGTAAATAAAATTTAATTGGAATATAGTCACAGCCACTCACTTATCTGCTAGTGTTTACCTGCATCTATTAAATTCAACTTATGCATCAACAGTGAAAGCAAAACTGTAGAATTTTATGAAATATTTTAAATGTATAGAGAATAATATAATGACTAGCTGGGACCCACTACTCAGCTTTGTTCAATACTAACATTCTCCCATAATTCCTTCAATATTAAAAAGAAATAGTTCAGATATATGGCACTGAACCCCCTTCATAGCCTTCCCTGACCTTATTTCTGTCCTTCCCCAAAGGTAACCACTACAATGAATTTAGCGGTTATTTCTTACCTCTACTATGTGTGTATGCATGTTTTTAGAATTCATATAAATGGTATATTGTAGGAATCATTCTGCCACTATTTTTATGCAATGTTGCTTTTGATAGATAAATTTGGTAGTAGCATACAATAAAATATAGCAGATATTTTATTGTATGCTACTACCAAATTTATCTATCTTCTATTGATGGACATTAAGGTTGCTTCTAATTTTTCACCTCTACAAATCACTGTTGTGAAAGATCGTGGGAGAGATTGTCAAAATAAATGCCTAGAAAAACTGTCGTTGTAGGGATGTTACATGTACTCTTAACTTGATGGTATCAAATTGTTTCTAAAGTTGTACCAATTAAGACTACCAATAGCAGAGTATAAAAGTTACATTTGCCTACATTATTGTCAGCACATGACACTGTTAAATTTTATGTGTTTTCTCCCCTCCCCATCATAATAAGAAACAGTGTCTTCTTGTTTTAATTATCTTTTTCCTGAGTTACTAGTGATTTTGAATAACTTTTCATTCAAGTTTGTTGTACTTTCAGCTTTCCTACAGTCAGGAAGCTTTCATAAAACTGAAACAAGAACACTTATGTAATAAGCAGCTTAAATTTTAAAAAAAAGTTTTATAATCAAATTCTAACTTTTGGAGCTAAATGTGTAATATGGAAGAATTATGGGTGCTCATTTAAGCGAACGACCAATGAGATATAAAACAAAGGAAGGTAGAGGTGACCAGTCTTGGACCACTGTAAGATTTGAGGAGATGGAGACAATTGAGTGAATTCCAGACAAATATATTTTGAATATGCTAACTACTGAAGAACATTCTCTTTTATTTATACTTTACCTTTATTGGTAATATTACTCTTTAGTCACGTGGGAAATGAAAATATCATATTTTCTTTTGGTTAGATTTGCAACTTAGTAAATATTAGTTATCGTTAAAGAAAAGTTTTCTGAATTCTTCTGAGGTACTCAAAATAAGAAATGCATAATATGAAACATACATATTAACTGGCAGAAATTAGATGTGAATATAAGTTTACTTTTAAATTACTTCTTTAAAAGAAATCTTATCCTTAGCAACAGCATGGATGGACATGGAGAATATTATGCTAATGAAATAAGTAAGTCAGAGAAAGATAAATATCACTGATTGCACTTATATGTAGAATTTAATGAACAAAATAAACAAATAAAACAGAAAAAGACTCATAGATATAGAGAGCAGTCTGACAGCTGTCAGATGGGAGGCAGGTTGGGTAAAAGAGATGAAGGGATTAAGAAAAAAATACATAGACAGTAGTGTAGTGATTGTCAGAAGGAAAGGAGGGTAGGGAGAGGTAGAAGAGAGTAAAGGGGGGATAAATGGTGACAGAAGGAGACTTGACTCTGGGTGGTGAACACACAATGCAATGTACAGATGATGTATTATAGAATTGTACACTTAAAACCTGTATAACTTCCTTAACCCGTCACCCCAATAAAATAAAAAAATTTAAAAATTACTTTTTTAATGAAATGATATGCCACCTAAAATTTATTTAGATAGTAAGCTCTAAGAACATCTTATTTTAGCATCTATTATACTAATATACTCCTCCAAATAGAGTGGGCACATAAAAGTGGTTGTAGAATGAATGAATATTGTATGCTTCAGAATAAATAAGACACTTTACCCCCCTTTTCTCTCTCACCTGCTTTAACTGAAAATGGCTTTTCCAATAAAAATATTGTTTGTTTCCAGTGTGTTTCGGTACTCTGGGGGCCCGTAGAGAACACGACCTGCAATGGTAGAGTTCAAAAGTATCTGATGAAGTACAAGATATTTAATATCATGGTACATTAATCTACTACATCAAATACAAGCTCCAATTGCTTACAATAGCAAAATGCTTATGATCAAACACCTTGGGGCACAAAAATAAAATGCAATGTATTTCACATAATTAATTCTTATGAGACAACTCATAATACTTACCCTCTTGTGACAATTCTTCTCAAAATATATATCAAAGTAACCAGCAATTGCCTGTTTTTAAAAATAAACAAACAAATTACATGACATAATTTACTATTCAGTCTTTTAAAACATGGCAAATTAAAAAAAAAAAAAAAAACTATTTCAAAGACCAGCTACCTCTTAAACTTATTGCAAGTCACCATTTTTTCTGGAAAAGATTTTATAGGCAAAAACAAAGTAATATAATTTGGCTCTTTTCCCACAGAAACAACACAATAATAAGGGTAACAAGGCTAATCAAATAATCAATACACTTTATTAGAGAAATGATCATGGTAGACTACTGAAAGGGGAGAGACTATAAGGAGAGAGAGGCTCAGCAGCCCTTTGTGGGTCCAGACTCTCCCGCTGAAATGCTGCCATGGGAGGTAAAGCATCCTGGACCCTGCAGCAGCTCAAGAGACCCAGGAGAGACCAGCAGAAAAACTAGTAGATAATCCAGTCCAGACTGCAGAATCATAAGCCAATACATCTAAATGATCGTGACTTCAAAGCATTAAATTTTGGGGTAGTGTATTACACAGCAATAAAGAACTAAAACATACTCTTTTATATAAAGACAGCTCATTAAATTTCTTCTGATATTATACACCCAATTTTAAAGCAAACCACTATGAATATTTTTGCAATGAGATTATGGAATATTTAAAAGTTACTTTTCTTCTTCTGGAAAAAAAAAAAATCAGTAATAGTATTCAAATAAAACCTATGTTTAAGCAAATAGCCAAAAGAGAAACTCAAAAGTAACTTTAAGTGTAACTATGATAGTACAAAAAGGTCTCTAGAAGAAATCAACACTTGAATGGCTACACCTTTTGATAGCCTAAGGGCAAGTTTACATGTAAACAAGTTTGCTCTCAATTCCCAGGGCAGAAAAAAAAAAAACAAGGTTTAAAATTATTAGATTTTAAAATTTATTCTTAGAAGTGTAAAAGTTTATTATTTAAAAAAAAACAACAACAACAAAAGGAGATTGAAAAACCTGATGAACAATAATAGCTGTTCATTGTAGTAGAGTCGGCGATATGGGAGGGGAGTGGACTGACTGTTGTGGGGGGGGAGGGAGACTGAACATAAACTGTGCACCTATGGATGAGGACAATAGGGGGTGGGGAGGGGGCGGAGGGTGGGGTGGGATCCTGGTGGAAGGGGTAAGAAATGAGGAACCTTTGTAATAATATGAACAATAAAGATTGATTTAAAAAAATAAAATAAAATAAAAAATAAAAAGAAATTAACATATTCAGATGAATATAGAATTTTCATTTATTTTGTCTAAACTTTAAATACCATTCCTTTTTCTTTCACTACGGGACTAGGTTGACTTAATCTATTTTTAAAATTGGCATTAAATAAAGCTCCCAAAGTGTTAAAATAGGACACTGCTGCTTTTGTTGAGAACGTGAAGTTTTATTGATCTGTAGGTTAATATGGATTGAATCCAAACCAAATTCAATATTTAACCTTTGGGTTCATTATACTTTAGATACCAAGAGAAAAATCGAAATGCTATTTATAGTTCTGTCAAATAGGATTACAAAGCAATGTAGTGTTCAGCTATAGATTATTACAGAAAACCATGTAGCTAACGAGAACATTTCTAAAATAATATCTTTTTTCCCCAGCTGATTTCCTGATACCTCTCCAATGACTAATTTAACTGTTTTCTTAAATTTCTTTCTAATATGTCTATCTTGTTCACCACTATATCCTTCGTGGCCAAAGCAGTACACAATTCATATTTGCTAACTGAATGTGCCATGATATACAATTTTATTATAGTACTATCATCTATATTTTAGTTTGCCCTACCAGACTGTAACTTATTTATAAGCAAAGCCTATGAGCAATTTATATTTTTATGACCTTTACCCAGCACAAATCTGTTACACAGCAGGTTCTTAATAAATTTTAAATTAATTTTTTTAGTCTTCAGTTTCTTAAATTAACTAACCTTAATTAATATAGTGCACTTGACAAAATTATTGAATAACTACACTTAGAATGGAACTAATAATTTTCAACTCTGAAAAAATGGAGAGTGCAGATGGGGAAGAAAGAGAGCAGAGGTCCCCCTAATTCTATGTATAAAGCTGCACAAGTGTCAGCCTAACCCCTGAGCGACACAGCTCAGGTGAGATCCAAATCAACATAAAAGAGGCTGAAAAAAATTGAACTAAAACTTCAATCACTGGCACAAGTCCTAGGATTAAACCCTGAATAAATGTGTGTGTGTGTGTGGGGGGGGGGAAGCTAAATCAAGTGGCAAAGACTTAGAGAATGAATCAAGATTTGGAAAAACCTGTGCGAATCTCAGACTAATGCCTTAAGTGCATATGTGCAGGAGAGACCCAAAGCAATATAACATATGCTTAGAGAATGACTAAAATTTGAACCACTCTCTGCACAGACACTATTGACAAAACTTGGGTTTTGACTTGAAATGGTCTAACTCCCTGCTAACTCCAAACATGAGCATTATCCGGGCAATTATAACATTACAAGAATTCACACGACAAAAGCATGCACATCTAGAAGAAAACACAGTGAAATGAATCAGAAGATAGGAATTCTCATAAAAAAAAAAAATCCTATAAAATGAAAGACTAATAGGCAAATTGTCCCCTCAAGAGTTAGGCCGACCGGAAGTTCGACCACTTTCTATGACATGTGCTGACCACCAGGGGATAGCACGCAATGAAGGAAGGCTCTGGCCAGCAGCCAGCCAGCAGCTGGGGGAAGGAAAGTGTCGGCCAACAGCTGGAAGGCTCTGACTGGCTCTGATCGCTGGACCCCATGGATGAATTTTGTGAACCAGATCTCTAATGAAAAAAAGAAGTATATGGAATATTGAGAACTGAAAAATAATGGAAACAAAACACTCCCTGTGTTGAATTGCAAAATGGAGATAACAATAATTTTTTTTTTAAAAATCAGTGAGTATTAAGATAGATTAATCTAAATTATTTAATTTTAAAAACCAAGGGGAAAAGATTGAAATAGAACGCAGAGAGTTGCAGGGAGCTATAAAGCTAACTTATATGTAATTGGTAGTCATGATGGAAAAGATAAAGCTATTGAAGCAGAAAAAAAAAACCTTTTATATTCTTTTATATTTCTATATCCAGCAAAAATATCTTTCAGGAATAAAGGTAAAATAAAGACATTTTCAAGTAAAGGAAACAAAAATAATTCATTGCCAATGGACTTTTTAGAAGAAATTTTAAAGGAAGTTCTTCGAGCTGATGAGCTACAATACTAGAAGGAAAACCTAAAATATCAAATATAATACAAGAACAATAGGAGTAATAAATAATTAGGTTTTATTTAAGACAAAATTACAACATCATCTGGTGGGGTTATCAATTTGCACATATAATCATAAAGATCAGTGCAGTAGGTAGAAGGGTAGGAGGGAGGAAATCCCACCAACATATGTGTTTTAAAAAATATAAGTGTTTATAAAATCTGGAGCTGAAGAAGGCTTTTTAAATGCTACACATGGGCAGACTTAATATAAGGGAAATTTAAAACTTTAATATCAAAATTGAAAGGCAACAAATCTGAGAATATTTGTAATATATATAAAACAAAAGCCACGTGTTCTTTGTACAATAAACTTCTAAATTATTAAGAAAACAGTATGTCAAGAGAAATTAAGACAAAGAACATTTTTAAAGAAAAATCAACTGATCAATAAGCATGTGAAAAAAGATGTTTGACCTACTTAGAGAAAAATGAGTAAATTAAAATAATCAAAACTTTTTTTAAAAATAAAAATATTCAGTTTAGTGGGAAACATGGCACTCATTGTGGGAAAATAAAATGAAATAACCTTCTTAAGGGAACTTAGCATTACATATTAAAAGACAAAACATTTGATCAATAAAAACAAAAAGACAAAACATTTGCATTAGAAAGAAGTCATACATGAAATAGTACAAATAATATAATTCCATTTATATAGAATATTCAAAATAGCAAAACAATGGTATTGTAAGTCAGTATTATAGTTACCCTTATATAAGGATAGAAACTGAAAGGGGTTATCTGGTGGGCTCCTATTCTTAAGCTGAGTTGAGTACATGGTGAATATTTACTTCGGGTAAATTTATCTGACTACACTTATGATTTGTGCATATTTTCTGTCTTCTAAGTGCATGTTATATATTCAATTAAAATGTTTACATAATGTATATACTCAATGACTCAGGAATTCTAAAAAGTATTCTATGGAAATTATTAAGTATGCCTGAAAAGATTTAGCCATAGGATGTCAATTTTAGCTCAAATTTCCAACAATAGGTGACCAATTAATAAATCATAAAATCTCCAATATAATGAAATGTCATTTAACCATCAAAAGTAATCCTATAAATATTTATTGATTTGGAAAAAGTCACAATATATTATTTTATAGTTTCCTTGGAAATGCATTATATCTTCAGCTCCTCATGCAGAGTTAACTTTCCTAATGATGTTTGGTTAAGGGTAATGTTAAGATCAGTTCTTCAGCACATATTATGCAGAAACATGAGGAACATTAGGAAGAAATTCACCAGAGATTAAAAATTATGTGCAGCCCTGGCCGGTGTGGCTCAGTTAGTTGGAGCCTTGCCCCATACACTAGAAGGTCATAGGTTTGATTCCAGGTCAGGACACATACTTAGGGTATGCATTCCATCCCGGTCGGGCGCATAAGGGAGACAACCAATCAATGTGTCTTTTCACATTGATGTTTCTCTTTCTCTCTCTCTCTCTCTCTCTCTCTCTCTCTCTCTCTCTCTCTCTCTCTCTCTCTCTCTCTCTCTCCCCCCCCCCCCTTTCTCCCTCTCTGGAATCAATTAAAATAAATAAATAAATAGATAAATAGATAGATAGATAGATAGATAGATAGATAGGTATGTGCACTTAATCTACTTGTTGATTAGCATTTACATAACTGAGAAAGTGAAAGACTCTTACTCTGAAAATCCAAAGGGAATTTCTGGTTTAAAAAATTGGTAATT